ACTGTTTTGGGTGTTTTGAGAACGAAGCAAATACTACAATGATTGTTATTATGACGAGGAATGTTCGTACGACACATTATTACTGTTTTGGGTGTTTTGAGAACGAAGCAAATACTACAATGATTGTTATTATGACGAGGAATGTTCGTACGACACATTATAACTGTTTTGGGTGTTTTGAGAACGAAGCAAATACTACAATGATTGTTATTATGACGAGGAATGTTCGTACGACACATTATAACTGTTTTGGGTGTTTTGAGAACGAAGCAAATACTACAATGATTGTTATTATGACGAGGAATGTTCGTACGACACATTATAACTGTTTTGGGTGTTTTGAGAACGAAGCAAATACTACAATGATTGTTATTATGACGAGGAATGTTCGTACGATACATTATAACTGTTTTGGGTGTTTTGAGAACGAAGCAAATACTACAATGATCGATTGTTATCATAAATTATAACATGCGCTCATTAGCATATTGTCCGGTTGTGTCAACCCGACAACTTTTTGGAAGGGCCCTTTTTGGCGGCCGTGGATCTCATTAGCATATTGACTACCAACTTCCGGTTGTCCGGGTGTGTGACAAGATCTCTACGCATGAGGGAGGGGTGTTTCAAACATAGAATAGAAATATTTATAGGGAGGGGAAGGTAAAAGATACAGATTGGTAAAATCAAACAAAATTGAACTTGGGGTGGGGAGGGTGGGCGGTACTTTGTTTGGATCGCGACATGGTCAACCCGTCAAATTGGTTTGTCAACCCGTGTCATGTCGCAATACTGGACATACTTGAATCAGCTTGAAAGATTACAATAAGATAACGACAAAGACACTAGAGCCCTCACACACTACTCTCAAGATGTATGATCAGTCAACATTAAAGCCAATAGGACAAACAAAGCTATACTGTACAGTCAAGGGTATTACCAAAAAGGTACAATTTCAAGTCGTCAAGGATGCACCTATTTCCCTTCTCTCTGGTAAAGCCTGTCAAGCCCTACAACTTTTGAACTTCAGCGAGGACATTTTACAGATTAACGAATCCTTGACTAAAGAGCAAGTCCTTACTGAATATGCAGATGTATTTACTGGTCTAGGAAAGCTACCAGGAGTTTATCACATCGAAACAGACCCAAATGTCAAACCAGTGCAAGGCAATCCAAGAAGAGTCGCACTACCCCTTGAGGAAGAATTAAAACAGAAAATTGGCGAACTAGAGCAAATGGAAGTTCTGGCCAAAGTGACAGAACCTACCCCTTGGATCAGTAACATGGTYGCAATTAAAACRCCAAAGAAGCTAAGGGTATGCTTAGACCCTCAAGAGTTGAATAAGGCGGTATTACGCAACCATTATCAAATGCCTACTATAGAGTCCTTAAGTCTGACGTCACGTTGCCATGACACCAAAATTTTCTGTTCTAAACAAACTGTCGTGACGAGTCGCCATTAGCATCGAGCCATTGTTTTGAAGAATTAACCTTGGATTTCATATTTAAAACTTCTATTCAAGTCAAAATAAGGGCCCAATTAAAGCAACCGGGCTGTATTGTTTTACAAGATTTTATAATTATACGGATCGGTTTGATATAATTTGACTTTTAACGTTAAAAAGTTGGCGTTACGAATACTCCGCGGGTCAACATGGTTCAGTGCTTTGCACCAGATTGTAGACATACTTCTGAGAGCCATACATGTAGATTTTTTGGATTTCCAAGTCAAAAAAAGAAAAAAGAAGAGTACACGAGGTGGATTAAACTATTAAGGTAAGATTTATCTCCGTTATATCAAAGTTTACGTTGTTATGAGCGCTTCTCGAAGATTAGCGCGTGTTTGCTTCGTTTGCTTACTTTGATGAAAGCTAGACAAAATTATACTAATTTGCACCTTGCTCAGTTATTTTCTTGTAGTGTTGCCACTATAGCTAATATTGTTTCTACATTTATCCATGTGCTACATTATATTCTTTTTC